AGTGGTAGAAGTTTGAACTAATTATTTTTTTGCATTTTCCTTTCCCCATGGTTCATATAACGTATACACGAAGTTTTATCAAAATACATCAAACGGAACGGGCTCTATACAGATCTGAGTAGGTCAACTTTATAACCAACCTGTATTTTATTAGTCATTCCTAAATTCAAGATACAGGAATCCTTGAAAGAGTCAAAAATAATACACCGCTTTTAAACGTCTTTAGTCTAATGTTATTTTTAATTTAAAACAGCAAAAGAAAAAGTAACAATTTCTTATCATTTCGAAATAATTTGATGCCAAATCAAACGAGAAACTTTATTAAAGAACCAAAAGTATTTGCAGAAACAATTTATTTGTTGCAATAATTCTAACCACATTTTTATTGTTACATCATATTATCTTCATGTAAACATTATAAATATGAGATTTAATCGATCCTAAGCCAATGATATCCAGGGAATATCTCATTGCAAAACTTAAATTAACTCAAATTTTCCTTTACTCTGCAGAAGCATTATGCCTCGTTTCAATTCAATGCAGTTTGAATGAATCTCTTTATTTATCGAGAATTTATGTAAATCATTTTCCTGGAAGACACTGGCTAGACAAAGAATCAGAGTTCTTTTATTATCCGTTTTTTATACCCCAAACCACCAGATAATAGTGTTGCCAATGCATGCAAACCCTGAAACAAAAATTTTGCCAATACTGTACATAAAGATAGGGAATGGATACAAAATAAAAACTGGTGCATGCGAGACAACATGACACCAAACTCGTTAGTTTTTTTTTTTAACGTGCCTGCATTTCACCAGCAATTTGCGGTCCCCAGATACGGCACCAAATTTTAATTTCAATATTCTTACTACAATCTTTTATTAACTCATTACTGTAATGAGTTAATATAAGATTGGTTTGGAGCCGCTTGTTGATGGAGACCCCAGGCAATTGCTCTTTTTGCCCATAGGATAACTTGCCGCTGAATGAGAATTATGCAAATCTTACTCAAATATCGTTCAAATAAATCGACTTATATTAAGATGTGTTTGCACTTAATTTCAATCATCTTTGTATCAAAATGCTTTCCTTTTTACAAAGAGCCAAATCCTTGAAATTATCATGGGTTTATCTTGAAGATGGTGTACAAAGTCAGTCCAAATACACTCAGGGGCAGATCTAGGTTTTTCGAGGCCATGGGCTTATTAAAGTCTAATGAGACCCCATTTTTTGTTAGGTTAAGAATTTTTAGATTGGGATTTAAAATTGCAACTTGGTGACCTGACCAATTACGTTACATTGATTACAATAAAATAAATAATACTATTAATTATCATTATTATTATATTATTAACTATTTTTACTATACGATAAGCGCTCATTGTTAATGAAAAAGTATTAAAAATGTATGATGATAATTCAATTTTTGTGGGCACTTGACACTTGAGGCCCAAGGCTTAAGCCTTATTAGTCCCTATGTAGATCCGCCCCTGAATACACTGGAGGAGTTCGAGTCATCTATCAAAGTAAAACTTTCTCTATTTCCCAAACTTTCGGCTTACATTGAGGAAGTTTGTGATTGAACTAACCACATTGATCATATTATAACTGAAATTGATATTTGAAGCCATTTATATCACATTTAAGTAAAGTTTGTGTACCTCGTATTTCAGTTTGGGCATATAAAACGTATGGCCTTAAAAATATACCCAGGAAACCTTGTGAACAGAAAATAAGACATTTGACGATGTGAGGTAGCCTACAAATAGACGAGAAGATATTTAAAAAGGGTTGAATACAATAGGAAAAGTCTGAAAGATGATCCCAGGAGGAAAATCGACAGGAAAGAATGAAAGTCTTTACCTAACCTAACATAACAGTGCTGGAACAGGAAGAGGATGGTGATGTCGTTCAATTGTAATTAAATATTAAATGTTGGTGGGTGTACCTTTTGATAATTGTGCAAAAAACATTTTTTACATATTGTATTGCGGGAAATTACCGTATTTTGTATTCCTTTTTATATTATTTTGTTTTTCGTATTTATTGTATTAATTTCGTTATGTTTGTTTACGTAATTTAATTTCAACATATGTTCTAATATAATTTAAATTTGAACGTGTTCGATAATGGCATGGATTCGAACGTCTGTAACCTGATGATGGCCCATGAAATGGGTTGAAAACGTTTGTTTAGCTGAATAAATGTGCGTTCTCAGTATTAAGGTGTGTTAACTGTATATTGTTAAAGAATCTGAGTGAGAATAGAAGAAAAACGTTTTCATTGTTAGAATGCGTTCTCTTCGCAGCGATTTTTCTTTCGCATGTATCGAATTCTAGTATTTTCGTTATTATTTAAAGAAATTCTGACTATTGCTATAACCAGTCGTAGATGGACGAAACATGATCCTTCGATATATCGTAGAAGCGAAAACAATGGATTTGCTACCATCGATACCGAACAGGATCCACACGGATATGGACAATTTTTCCAATATACGCCCTATCAATGACAAATATAGAAGATTTCCTCTTGAAAGACTTAAACAGAAATCACATCTTCAAGCAAAGGAAGTGAATTTAAATCCATTTTTGTACAAGCTCAAGGAGGCATCTACACTTCATTCAGGATTTGAACATAATCCTAATTACCCTAAGATAATGAAGAAACAAAGACATTCGATCAAGTCAGAGAGGAATAAGATAATGCCTTTTAATGTCCTCCTTCGCAAAGCAATCACTACCTCGTACGAACGACCAATGCCACGATTCATTTTCACGGTGAGTTGGCCCGAATCTAAATTAACAGAATTAAGGGATGAAAAGATGAAAGAATTAGATCTCATTTTGACACAACAATCCGTCGTTACAGAGCCAGCTACGAACAATCCAGAAACCGTATCCATCAACGAACAAATAAAACGGCGATATTTAACATTAACAATGTCGCTATCGATTTTGTTTTTTATAACAACGATCACCTTTTGTGGCATGTTGATTCAACGACATTGCTACAATGAATCCAATCAGAAAATACGTCGAACTGCCGGACAGAGACAAGACAAAGTGAAAAAAAGGAAACCGGATAAAACACTCTCACCCGAACCTGAGCAACAACCTCTATTAGAACCAGACGAAGTTGAGGAAAACACTCGACCTTCGTCCATTTCTTCGACAATTGATATGAAATATTCATTCGACAAATTCCCGAGATTGATCGAACGTTTACACGAAGACGAAATAAAACAACTCGAAACGACTTTAAGAAGTGTTGAACAGATCTGAGCTATTTGTTCATTTATGTGACAGAATTTGCGTTATTTTTCTATATTTTAATATTCATTTAGTTTGTTGTTTAAATGATAAATAAAGAAATAAAAACAGTCTATAAACCAAGAATTTATCTAAACCATGTACTACATTATATTGCTATTGATATATCAGTTATATTGTGATGATATCAAGAAGAAAAAAAAAAGCTGATGGCAAGCTGAACAATGTAATAATGTGTGTCAGTCTTAAATCTAGAGTATTAGATTTAGTGGATCTGTACATAAATTTTTCATTTTCAATGAGAAAAAAATAGATATATTAGAAGGTGTGTATGTAGTACACAGGATCTGTTGTCTGTAGAATCAGAGAGAGAAAATTTTTTGGCACAGACTCTTAGCACAGATACTATTTCCGCATACAACACATTTTATGTTATTTTTCGACAACCAATAAACAATAATATCTGAAAATAAAGATGCACAATTACACGTCGAAGACAGATATAATAAAAATGTAAGACAGGTACAGGCCTATTGCATCCAGTACAATAACTGATTTGCAATTTAAAATAACAAAAATACTCAAAATTAAATTTTATTTAGTTTTTAAAGTAGAACACAAGCCAGTTATAAAACTCGGCATTTGAAAATTCTTAAAATATTTAGTGTTATGAAGTCTTAAAAATTCTTCAGTTCTTCGTTATTTTTGGTGTGTAAATTTTTGATATTCAAGGAAATTTTTTAAACCCGGCAATATTGATTACGTGACAGTTTTAGCTAAAATAGATTAAAATTTTTCTGTGTTTTTCAATCATGGCTAGAGTTTTGGTTATTGCAGGTTTTATCAGCCATATTCGAACAAATCTGGAAGAAAATTGGCAATATTTACCGAGCGCTTCGTTTAATAGTCACTGCACTATTTATGGCCGGATGACCGATCGTTCAAGGCGATAACATTCCGCTCTGGAGTACCCGGGATCGATTCCGGACGGGTCGGAAAATCCCCAGGAATCTTTCGAGGGTGTTCCGATGGGATACGTCGACCCACGTCCCTCATCACCCGGCCGCCCCATTGTGGACCTGGACGAACCCATAATGGGCTTACTAAAAATAGGTCCTCTTACTGCCCACAGGGCGGAAAGAGTTTAAAAAAAAACTCACTACACTATCGTGATACTGTATTATCATTTATACAAATCATTCGACAATTTTCTATCGATGGGCAGCAATCATTCGATAGTAGGAACATCGGTAGTTAGAAGGTTTTGATTGCTGGAATGATTGTAGGGACGAGACGGATCGTCAAAAAAGAGTTTGTCGCGCGGCCATTTAATTAAGGCATAGTTTTTTTAACTCTTTCCGCCCTGTGGGCACTAAGAGGGCCTCTTTTTGCAGGCCCATTATGGGTTCGGCCAGGCCCACAATGAGGCTGCCGGGTGGTGAGGGACGGGGCCCGACATATCCGAACGGACCACCCCCGAAAAATTCCTGGGGATTATTCGACCCGTTCGGATTCGAGCCCGGGTCCCCCAGAGCGGTAGGCTGCCACCGGCCGCTTAATTAAGGCATAGTAGACGTAAACAGGTATTTTTAATTCATTGAATTTTTTTTATTTTTAGATTTATATCAAATACTAATTCCGACATTATTATATTTTTAAAAAATGTTTTATGAAAATTGAATTTGCATTATATATATTTTATGTCGCCTCTAGTGACCAATATTAGAACTAAATTGCAGACGATGTCTTTAATTTTTCGAATTTTAAATATAAATTTTGAATATTTACACGAATGTAAGTATAATATAGACTTTATGGAATTAAAATATTGATAAATAAGAAATATATTTAAACGAAATGAAGTGTAATAAAGAGTAAATCAAAGAAGAAGAAACTTTTCTAGAATATTCTCTTTGAATTTCTCTGAATACTGTTTAAATTATATTTAAAATGTATTGAATATGGTATACATTAACTTAAAACAGACGAATTTCAGATGATAAAATATATATTTTTGTAAAATTAAACGTTACGATTCATTCATAATACATACCACGTGTTAAGCAGCGTTATTGTTCTTTCTGATAAGTCTTGTTTTTCCAGCTCTTTAAAATCATAAAATTTTATATTTTTTTCATAGAGTTAAGAAATCAATAATTAATTAAATTTTAATGAATTTAAAACGATAATGCACACATTACATTGGAAATAATTAAACATTGAATGATTTACAATAAAACGTAATACTGAGTAGTTTGTTTAAAATATAAACACTATTTAACGAAAATGATTAATTAAAAAGCACTTTCACTTACAAACAATTTGAACTTCTCGGTCTGTGCTGTTCTAAAACGCATCAAATTCGAATGCTAGGGTTTAAATATTTGAGAGATTATATTTCTGTTGAAACAATAACATGATTTTATATATTTAATAGTGCAGTGACTATTAAATATACACTGCACCATACTGCACCATAAAACACTGCACCATACTGCAATATTTCCATACTCAAAATATCAAATATTTTGGTTAATATATCCCAGCATGAAAGNATATTTCTGTTGAAACAATAACATGATTTTATATATTTAATAGTGCAGTGACTATTAAATATACACTGCACCATACTGCACCATAAAACACTGCACCATACTGCAATATTTCCATACTCAAAATATCAAATATTTTGGTTAATATATCCCAGCATGAAAGTATATGATATTGTGAAGACAGCAGATGCTACCTATGCAGAAATTCAAATTGAATTATTCTATCATCCAGATGATGAATTTGTAAATATTGTCTTGAAATACTGCAAGACAACATTACCTTCATGTTGTGAGGTAAAAAAAATAATACAGCATTTTGTTACTGTAAGATTATATGAAACACAACATAGAACTATTACAAAATCCAAAAATAAAATTTACTACACAAAAAACGCATAAAAATAAATGGTTTCTTTACATCTGATTTTGTTTTTGTTATCTTTTGGTTTTTTTTATTCTAACTGGTCACAAGAAACACTTTGGGTTAAAAATATAACAACACAAAAATGAAATAATTACAAACACAATGTGACAATATATGTACAGGTAACCCCCGTATAACACGGTAGTTACGTTCCAAAAAATTGCCGTGTTATGCGAATCCGTGTTATACGAAACAAAGAACTAGTACGAAAAGGAGTGTTAGGTTCCAAAAATTAAAAAACATGCTACTATATTTTCATAATTAAGGTAAATATCTTTATTAAAATTTTCTTAAGTGATACATATTAATATAAATTAAACAATGTTTTCTTCGTCATCACTAAAAACACTATTAATTAACCGAGAGCGTTTTCTTTTTGGCAAGTTATCCTTATCCTCTGAGCATTTTTCTGCATTATCTTCAGATCCATGCTTTACCTTTTGCAAAATGTATGTAATTTTAGATTGCTTGCTTCTAGTTAAAAGGTCTTTATAAATTTCCTTATATGGTGCTAAGCACTTATGAAGAATAAAGCAAGTATGGAATAAGGGAAAAACATTCGGCAACATCAGAAGCAGAAGCGTCGCGATCTGGCAACATTGAAACAAGTTTCGAGAAGGACCACGTGTATCGACAGAAGGCGAGAAGAGAAAATTTACATACTTAAGTACTAATAGTTCACGAAAATAATAATTTTCGTGAACTATTATTACTTAAGTATGTAAAAATTTATTACATTTCCTGTTGTACGAGGGTTTTACCCAATTCTCGAACCGTGTCAGAGTGAATCCGTGCTATAAAAGTACCGTGTTATACGGGGGATGGTACCAATTCTCGAACCGTGTTAGAGTGAATCCGTGCTATAGAAGTGCCGTGTTATACGGGGGTTACCTGTATTACGTAATATTACACTATAATATTGGAGGCAACTTCGTATATATAGCAGGCAACATTTTTATTTTTATGAAAAGTACGTTTTACCGTAAAGATGAAAGTACTTGTATTTCTACTTTAAAACGTAGACTACTTATTTGACAAATTATAATGGATATATCGCTAAAAAACTTTCACAGGGAGAGACAAATGAAAATAATAAAGAACGTTCAAGGTTAGTTCAAGGAATCGAAGTTACGATGATTGATCGTAATCATTCGTTAATGGGTTAATTACTTATTTTATTCTGTTGAAATAATTTTTAGTGGATCACTAACTGAAAAATTTTACAAATTATATTAATATTTTAAATATCAATCGTAAATAAAATTTTATTTGTTTTTATTATTGTTAATCACAAGAAAAAATTCAGTTTATCACATGAAAAATCCCTAGTCATATGTTTGATCGTACTGTCGTTTTCGGTTTTGAAGAATCTGATTTCTATTGAAGCCTGCTAATATAATTATAGATAATGAAGCAAATGAAAACCTGGTCCTAGTTACTCATAAAATATGCGAAGAAAAGATTAGAAACTTGATCTTTCGTACTGGGAAGAGACTTCATTATATACTTATTTATTCAATTATTATTATAGAATTATTTAAACTTAACAGCTTATTATCCTATATGATATATATTTTATAGAAAATAATATTTTCCATTAAAAAATATCATTGAGCTTTCAAAATTTATATGGTATTGTTTCTGAGATCTCTTAAAAACAAACTCACTAATTTCCAAATAATATTTGCGTAAAGCTAATGTAAAATATTTTCTTTACATAAAGCCATTCAAATGGCTTTATGTAAAGAAATAATTTTCAATAAAAAAACTTGTTTTTGTATTGAAATATTAAAAAAACCAGTCTTATTCAAATATTAAAAAACCAGTTTTATATTATTTTCAGAATAGTTAAATACAGGAAAAGGAAGTAATTAACAGTTTTTGCTCTTAATCTTTATCCATGTTCGCAATTGATTACAATAAATCTTGTCTCATTGAAACGTTATTATGAATATTATGTAACGATTGTTTAAATTAATCTTTATTTTAAAGTGTTATTTTTTAATATATACATTTTTAATATTTTAAAAATTATATCTGTAATTACAAACAGTTCTGCAAGAAATTTTGAATGACGACATGATATTTGCGCAACACTCGGAAATAAGCTGGCAGTTGTCCATTCTTTCATCTATAATTTCTAGTTTTTTACGTGTTTTCTTTGAATTATTTTTAAAATATCTATTATATCTAATGACATTTTTTCCTGCCTATTACGTCGTAGATAATATCAAAGAGCGAACAAAAAACTTAATCTTTTAATCATTTCAATCAGGTTTATTCAAATTTACATTTAGTAAATCTATACATAAAGTATATTTTAAACTATAATTATTCGGTATGGTAAATTCCTGATAAAAAAACTAAATTGTCAATGTCTGTTCCCTCGAAATAAGTGGAAAATAAACATTATAAAGCAATTTTCTAGGTAGAATTTATTCTCTGAAATCAAATTACGTGTATAAATGCTAATATAAATAACTAGTATGCGTTTCATTTAATATGATGACATAATTTAAATTGAAATGTACTCTATAATGTAATTTTAGTCACCCCTTTCTCTTTTTTTTACCGTTATATAACGCAGTAAAGCGAATTGTAAAGGAATTTTTCACCACGCATTATTTTTATAAGCTTAAGTACTTTGGCCTGCATAATTTTATAATCTTGTTTAGATTTAAAAGATACGATTTCACATGACAATTTTCTGGGAACTTTCAGACATTCATGACGAACGAATTCAATTATTTATTCCATACAAAATCATTTTTCTTTTCTACGATTGTAATTCCTGTTGCTGCAACTTTTATTTCACATGCCGATACGCATAATGTTTTCAATAATTTGAGTTAATAACAATAATTATTCGAGTTATTAAATTACTGGCCTAGACATTTTCCTAGTTAATTACTATTATTTATCATTAAGATAGTTATTTTTTTAATGTCATCTCGTTCGACTACGTTTATAAAATATTATCGAATTTTTAAGTGTATTATTTCTTGAATGAAATGATTACATTTTTATGTAATATTCTTAAATGTAAAATAATAGTAATTAAACAGGGAGAATAATTGATATGTAATTTCAATCATTTGAATAGTTTTTGTGTGTAATTATATTATTTTAAATTTAAATAATTATAATTTAGCAATAAAATTATTACTATTATTATTACAGCGTTTTTAATAATTAAAAAAGATATTTTTTTATATTTAAAAAAAAAACTATGAAAATTATTCGTGTATACAATTGAGTTTTTAATCTAGCAGATGGCAGCACTATTAAATTTTATAAAAATTCTGTTTATTTAATTCATACCAAATATTTTTAATTATCTTAATTTATTTTTCTATATATAAACTATTTAAAAAATCATTCGACATTATAATTTAATTTTTAAAAANGACGTACAGGGACAAGCCACTATTAATTTTGGATGGAGAATATATATTTTAATTTAAATAAATTAAATTAAATTGTAATTAAGTTTAATAATTACGACGGTGTTTAATTATAGTAATTTATCAGTTGTAAAAGACGGCACCAGATGGCAGACGTCGAATCGACCCTTCTAGAAAATTCTGGAAGTGGCCATTTTAAGTGGGAAGTGAGGCAATTTAACAATCAGAAATGTCGAGTTCTCACCATTCTTGTTTGTATAAACAAATTAATTCGACTTAATGTCGGGTTTTGATTGGCGTTTGTCCACTTGAACTTCCTTTTCATTGCAGATAATTACAGAGAAATATTTGTTGAGAGCTAACTGCATTGCCGACGTTCACTTCAAAGGCGCAGGAAGTCTTCTAATTGAGCCACGAGTTTCCGGGATTGCAATCAGAAAGATGAAAAAAAAACCAGAAATTTTGTTTGCAGCACAAAATTTCTGGTTTTCCCTCTTTCTTTATATGGAAAAAAAAGATTTTTCGTAATTACTCAGTAGAAAGATCAAAATGTAGTTAAATTATAGAGCGTTGATTATATATTCTGCAAAATTCTATATAATCTCTGACATATTATTATTGGTATATTAATGGTTCAAAATATATAAAATGTCACGAGTCAAGTAGTTTAAAAGATAATGATTCAAAATATATAAGCGTACAAACTCATTAATATATACTAAAATAAGGGTTCAGAAATATATATTTTTGGTCAAAAAAAGAGGATTTTTAATGTAGAAAAACTTTATGAAATTAAATTACTATATAGTCTGTCCCTAACGCGTTACTGGAGATAAATAATATGCCAGATTTTATCCTTTTCTTATGCAAAATTTCAATTTTTCTGGCTCTTTTGATAAACCAAACACAAAGAAATGTTTTCCATCTCTCTGGGGAATCAATTGTAGAAACGTAATGAATGTTAAAGAATGAAAAATGAATATTTTTTTTTTTATCTTTCTTTAATATTTTTATAATTTTTTTTACAAGCAAACCTGTTACTTTGTTACTTATCATGATTAATATGTTATTTTTATACACCCATTTAAGCTAGAAACTTAAAATTTTGCTCACATTCATAAAACACACTCAGTATCATTCAATACATAAATTGGATTTTATATTCTTTGACATATATAAAATTAAAAAACAAAAATGGTCAAAAATTCCAATATTTTAGGATTAAAAAATTTAGAAATTGGATTTTTCAGATTTTAATTTAAAAATGTCTATAAAAAAACAAAAATTCTTGTATTATATGCGATTATTTTCTGAATATTGTGAAAGTATTTCCTCGGGTTAAATGCATAAAATGGAATTTTATTTTATTTTTTAAAACGTTTTTAGAAAATTAGAAATATTTTAAAAAATGGCGACAAACAGCTGCGTTATTAACCGAAAGAAATAATTACTTTTAATTAAAGGAAACGTTAACGTTATTAACTCTCATTGTTTAGATTAAACGAATGATCCTAACCTGATCTTAACATTATATTAATAAAGTCATTACTATTGCTACAGGTTTTATAAAGAACATATTAATTATAGGTGTAAGCCCTCACAGAAAACTGACAGATGTAAAATTAAAAGATTTTGCACTTGATGTTAAAGAGAATAGAAACATTTACAAGTTCTATTGCTAAAGGGCATAGAAAGAGGAATTAAAAGGCACACGGAGGCTATGTAAAAGTCACGGAGAAATATTTTAGTAGTGCAAAGGGCAGGAAAAAAGAAAAGAGAAGAGAGTTAATGTGATGAGTCTATGGGTAATGAATAATAAATATTTCATTATTTTAAGAGCAGGAAATACAAACAGGTTTCCTGCAGTACCTAGTAGCCCGAATTGGTGAGGTTTTCTTCTAAACAAATAAACAGATCGACAGTTGTACAGATTCCTAAGAAACAATCATTTCCATTGTGGGAGTAGTAATAACTGATGAAAGAAATAGCGTATTGAGAGCAAGTAGGACACGCTAACCAAAAAAGAACCCCCGTGAGGGCATTAAGGGATCTCTGGAAGATAGGGGATATTGGGATTCATCTCCAGCTCCCCCGAGGTGGGGTGAAGTATGGGAACGTGGTAATTCTACTGTCCCTCATTGTGTACTGTCCAACTGGGCAGCTGACAGAAGAGAAAAACAGCAATACAGTCAAATAGAAGGTCTATTGAATCCTTAGACCACCGGGGAGATCATGTTGGACCCGGTGGGGTGTTGTTTGCAAGCTATTGTCGTCGAGGTTTAACTGTTCTTGAGTTTCTGTTGCGTCAACAAAGATGTCAGGGATTACTTTATTCTACATCAAGAAGGTGACGTCGACAAGTCAGTTAAGGCCTTCCCCTCTAAACTAAATATCCGCTGACAGATTAGCACCCTGCTCTTCTACTAATTGCGCTATTTATCTCTCTTTTCTAGGTTATACACTATACAACTCACTTCGATTTTCGTGGCTTAGAGTGACGAAATACGCGCTGATAGATCTGAAAGAGAAATTGTCATCGATTAGAATTGTTTAGAAATCACCCCTTTGCTCATCGCATTGTGGTTTATGGATAAAAGAATGATTTAGTCATATAATTCTGTAAAATAGGCTTTTAGAACTACGTTTTGTTGGATTTTATGGTATGTCCGTTCCGATTCCAACGACATACGTATTTCTGTAGTTTGTAACCGAATTTTTGGAGGAGTTGGAGTGAGGGTAAACTCCATTCCGTAGGTGAATGGAACAAAACGAAATTTGTCGGATGATATATCGACCTTTGAAAAATGAACTACTTGTCAATAAAACCTTAGCTTTTTTGGAATCAAAATTTGGAACGGGAGGAAGATAAATAACTGAAAATTCTAAATCAGAGTTGTAACTTATCATTATAATGATGGCGAGTGACGTTGAACTCGATCGATTTCGTTTGAAAAAGACAGAAAAAAGATTTTCATTTTTGCATTTGACTTAATTCCCGATTTGATAGTGGAGAAACGAAGTGAATCTTCTCACACCTTGGAATTGGGGATTGAGAACAATCTCGATACAAAAGCGAATTAAAGAGGGGTAAAAAAAATACGATGGAAGTTTTTCTCTCTCTCTTTCTCTGTCTCCAACGCTTGGTTTCACAATTTGAAACGGGAAGGGGGAAAAAATTTCATTTAATTTCATGCTTACAGCTGTTGCCCGATGGGGAATACAAAAAAAAAAAAGAAAAGAAAAAAGTAGAATAAAGGTGAATCGAAGCAGAGATAAAAGGCAGCAATATTAATGAATTGTGTGGTATAACCATACGATTAATTTCGAATACTGATTGTGAAAAGTATGGCATGATTAAACAACTAATAAAGCAAAAGATCCGTCGCCTGTCTGCCCCGCCATATGTCACCCTGCACACACTGGTGCACTTGACAACTGCGCCTTATCAAAGCGTCAACTTCCCCTTTGTTCATCCCATATCTCTGTGCAGAGGATGCTCTGTCTATCTCCGGAAAGACGACTTTATACTCCGCCAAATGCCTTATCTGTTGCGGTGAAATGCTACCGATAACGCGACCGAGAATTTGAAATTTGCGATTTTCCCTTTACTCTAAGCCGTTTCGTTCCGTTTCGATTGTAACCTCCTCTTTCCATCTGAGTTCCAAACTTCCACTATTTACAAATAGAAAAAAAAGAATCAGAAAAAAATTAAAAACAAGAAAACTTCGCATCTCGCGAACTTTAATCTAGTTTTTAATCAGAAGCGAAATACACTTCCTCATCGCGGATCAGCTACTACAGATGACACGTGACACTTTCTATATAAACAAGCGCCATTGGTTCACAAGCGAAGCCGCTCTTCTCCCCTTCTCCCTACCTGAACCGCTATTAAATTGCCAGTTGCTAAACATAGTCCAAAGCCACTCGTCACGTGACGCGTCTGGATGTGCAACAACATCCGGTCCAGATGCTGCATTTCTATCCGACCGTATTTATGTACCTTTGTTTTGCGCGGTGTGGCCTAGTGGCCGGGTGTTTGCTTGTCTGAAACGTGCACCGGCACATTAATGGACACGGAGACTAAATATTTGTCTCTAAATGATAATTTAAGATCCTTTTTAGTCTACAGCTTCCCAGCTGGAGTACGAAATAACAAACAATCTACTGCATCTACAACCAAATCCGATACGTTCATCGGCGCCTCCTAATTTTTGCTCCTTATAAACCTCGATAAGAACTTTATTACCTACTTAAGCAACGCCCCGCGCACCTCGTCTACATTTAGTAAACGCCTATAGGGATTTAGAATTAGTAGAAGAAACTGAACACAAAAAAGAAGAAAGAAATGTTAATTAAACCTCGCAGATTTTGGCATATTGTGCTTCAAACTCGACCAGGTAGGTAGGCTAGTAGCTGCAGGTGTTTGCATCCACCTTCAAACAAGTAGAGTCTGTTAGGAAGGCGATTTATTAAACGAAGCAAAAAGCAGAAGCAAAACAAGAACTTCTTTCATTAACAACTGAATATGCTACTCCGTTCAGGTGGAAATTATTCCCGTGGCCATATTAGTTTAGTTGCGCTTATGCCTGGAATGGAATCTTCTTCTTTCCTGGACGTGTCATCGTTTTAAAGATTTCTTTCAGGCTGGCAATCGGTTAATTAAAATCACTAATTATAACCCGGGGCAGTCGGACTTAATTGGAGTCTACCTGCGCTTTTTCTTAGACCAGAAGTAATTAAATACACGTGTCTCCGTACACCTGCGTTCGACTACATTTTTTTTATTTAGAAAAATCTTCTTTCTGTTAACAGTAACAGGTCCGGTGAGTGAAAGAATATATATATTTTTTTTGTCCTCTACCTCTCCGTCTTCTGGACAGTTGAACTTCAGTCAGGGCACGAAAACTTGAAAATGAGATACAAGATCGATAAAAGAGATAAACGAATCAAATTTCGAATCTTAAATGACTTTGAAGAAGCAATGGAAAAGGCCGGAGAAGAATTTAACTTGGAATTAATAACGGTAAAGTTCACGCTCTACCAAAACCGGAAGGAAGGTCAAACACACGTGACATTTTGCTCCTAAAATTTGCGAGGAATTGGAATTGTTGTAGACTTATAAATCAAAATTCGAGATTGATTCGGATGCGGGTTCGAAGTCGAAAGTGTACTGAATGTGTACTGTTACGGGAGTACATTGCGGTACGTAACTAGTGTTACACATGAGTATGAACATGGATCTCGTATCGTTTCGCGGGATCTCGCGTGTCGACGTCACTTGGAAGAACACCTGCGGGAAGCACACCTGCGTTGGAAATTTATTTGGAACATTTATCTACAAATAGTAGCTATCTCTCGGATGAGTTTGCACTCATTAAACAAGTAATGACAAGCGGACGTCTTCGATTGTCTTCGGAAACAATTATCCAAAGTTAGCCATTCCAAAAAAGCCAATTCGCATTGTTGCATCCTCGTTATACGTCCCGAGGACAAAAATGTCTACCTAATTGGAAACTAGAAGAACGCATTCTTGGACAGCTTAGCTTCTTTCGTGAATGATGTATAAAATTTTAAAATCCGTTTGAGGACAGAGGAAAAAACAAAATCTCCATTGCCTAAAAAAGGCCTGGGAGATTTATGGACGCTCCGCCCAAACGGGGAGGCTTTGGCACTCGGAGGCGTCAATGGTTTAATAGTAAATATTCCGGGTTATTCCTGTCGTAATTTATTATCGAAAGCAAATCGGTGAGGTCTAATTTAATTATAGTTTCGGACTTTTACGTAGAAAGGCGCGCCTGTAGTGCTACAGAGGCTAGATGCGTGACGTCAAAAAGGTATAGGCCTATAAGTTGCACCCCTCGGCACGGAACTCGGACGTGGACGAGAGGTGAGAAACTAAAGCCACCTAAGAAAATTAAATTACTTGGCAGCTCACACCCAGCTATTAGGACGGAGTTGTGCGAATGTTTTCCTGTTCACTGACCTCCTCTAGTAAGGCCCGACGCCTCTACTACTACTTTATGTGAGAGATTGCCGGTTGTAGGACCGTTTCGTAAACATTAACAATATAGGCTCCGTTGTAGAAACCGCTTTTCCTTTCCGTGCATTAAGTGCTTTCTTGATCGCGATTCGATCAAAATTGGGCGCTTTATCAAGCTCTACTGTGCAAAGTGAACTAATTACATTCACACGAAAACTCGTGAAAAATTACACTTTTGCTTAAAGTATCTGTGATCTTTGCTGTTGAAACCGTTGCGTGTGGAGTTCTCGAGTGTGGTAATGGGCCCTCTGAGCTAAATTGCGATGGGCAAACGCCCAAGAATTAATTTTCCTTTCACGTGTGTCATTAATGGAGAAAAAGTGGGGAGGAGGAATCTTTTCATTAAAACCTTTCGGAATCGCAGGTATTCGTCTCTTATCCTCCATCTAAATTTTAATCGCATTATTCAGTGTTATAATCACGCAGCTGCTAACTGGTTTCTCTACCCGGACGGGGGTGAACCCACTCGCATCGCAGCTATTTAGCGCTTCCATGTCCTGTCAACGATATAATTACGCCGGCCGACGCTTTATTCTGCTACTTTGACTCTAAACTTTCTCTCTTCTCTCTCACCACCTAACAAATTGAGACGTGAGAAAAGATTCTCTTACACTTTAACTGAAGGATTTCTTAACACGATTTTACTTATTTTAACCTAAAATTCTAATTTTCCAGCAAATATAAAGTTTATAATTAAGGCCATTCTACAAATGAATATTGTTTTTCCCGTCTTCGTCTTTCTGTTCTAAACAGAAATTAGAGCGGACTCGCCCTCTAAATAAGAACTAGTTTTGTTTTGTCGAAAGTCACGAATTTTGTCGTAAATTGGTCACAAACCATTTCGAACTTGGTCCGGAAATTTATTTAAATGTAAATATTTAATTTTATTTATATTTTCCGAGGTGAAACTTTAGAAGCCTGCTTTGGAGGGAAGTGATTATAATACATAAACCATACACCAACATTTTTTTACCTTCTTACGAAAAGCAAATGCCATATTTTTCGCACGACAAGTTTGGTTTTCAAGGCTGAAAATAAATAATTGGGTCAACACAAAATTTGCTGGATAATATCAATGCTTAAGAGGGTCTACGAAGAAAGATCATTAACGTGTGAAAAGCGTGCTTGGCAGTGTGTGAGCTGCAGTCAAGAGGTTCCTACTCTTTCGAGATGAGAGGCCATTAAGCAACACACCGTTTCTCTACTTACTCGAGTGTTGTGCAAACTTGAAAGTACTCGAATACCAACAAACAAAATGCGAATCAACCTCTCGGGGAGGACGCAAAATTGTCAAATTTGCAAAAAAAATTTCCTTACTCCCCTAATAAAGGCGTTGTTTTAATGGAAATTTAATGTTATCCCTCCACCTTTTCGGTTCTTGTGAAGTTGCAGCACTTTTTTCTCGAAATTTGTTTTGCAAAAAATGTAAAGCCATCCGTAATGTTACCTGTAGGAAACGCCGCATCCGAATCTGTGTGCAAATTATTTTCAAAGTCCTCGATTTATAAATGACATGACGTTCTTCCTGAGAATTTAAATTGTTTCCGCGCCACTGATTCGTGTTTGGAAATCACGCCAGTTAGATTAACATATAGTAAGAGGAATGCGAGTGGCCGCGGGCAGATGTGGTTCACAATGGCGCTGTCATTCACGTCAGCTCTCAATAGAAAAGTATTTCAACCTGGATCATCCAAATTTTGATTGTAAAGAAAATCGGATGAAGTTCTTTCTCCTCTTTTTTTCTATTCTTTCTTCTTTAGAATCACTCTACCTCGAATTTTACAAAAGCTCAACTCGAGCAACGTACCGTTTGCACCTCCTACAACTCGTTTCACCGATGTGGGACAATTAGTAAGCCAAAAATAAGTTAAAATTATGGTGTAAAGACGTAGAAAGCTCTTTACAGGAATTCTCAGATGAACTACTTCGAAGTTGACTTGATTTGTGACGCGTTCTGGCCCGTGCACGGTCATTAGTGGCGTTGCAAGGGGTTTGCAACGCTCCCTCCGCCTTCCTTTCTACCTGGAAATTTGTCTTCAACCGAAACTTCTACGTGGGAGGTAGAGACACCTGGACAGGTGAGAACCAAAATTAATTCTAATAGGAATTAAGATAATTACAAACCTTCTTGCCGTCGGCTGGAAGCTCACACACTTCTCTCCCCGTCTAATGATGGGGCATACTTGCGTTTTTGCGCAATCTTAGCACAAGAAAGATCTTTCATACACGACACCGAAGAACTTGTTACAAATGGTGTTATTCATAGAATGCTTTTTCTATCGGTTCTTCGATTGTTGATCTTAACTTCTATTGTAAACAACCTTCTAGGTGATAATAGTCTCGGGTGCCAGACAACCGGGGTGGTCCACCTGTTCTACAAATCTATGAAGAACTTTAACGTCAGATGTCTCTTATTAAAGATATGCGCAATTAGCCGAAAATAGCCTTAATTGAAAGATGATATTTGTAGTAATTACGAGTGTCTTAAAAAATGAAACTTTTTGGGAATCTCTCCCGCATTCCTCTCTTCAAAAAAGAGAATCTCGAACACCGCAAACGAGATCTTCAATTTGGACGCCTCGAATAATTTAACGGATAATTTTATTTTCACAAAGCTAGAGTGGAGTGTGGGAACAATCCTTTCCTTGTCTAATCTTACATTTGTGGCAGGTATTTCCGCCTCCTGCCAAGACTCAGTTTTTTCATTACCTCCCATGTTTGATGGATGATCCGAGAATGGCAGATGTTTCCGACACCTACCGAGGAAGTCGACACGTCGAAGGAACCTATTGTGGATTATTTGAGGTTTTCACCTGTAAAACACCTGCCCAGCACGAGTGGACCACAGGTGTCATGAGACCGAAACGTCTCTGTTAGATTGGAGAAGAGGGAGCAGCGGGAGATGCATCTTTCCGTAGTAGTAAGAAGTAACTCTGATGTCCATAGCTGAAGAAACAATTCTAGTACTGTTCACAATCGTAAGAAACAACGCTGGATGCTGTCCGCAGCTGTAAGAAGCAATGCTAATGCTGCCTGTAACCGTTAGAAGTTACTCTTGTTGCTCTCGAACTGCAGATCATCAAGAGTTGACTTATAGAGAGATTCATTAGGAATTATCGACTCGTCTAGAAGTAAATAAGTTCAATCGTTATCGAGAGAAACAAATGGATGAGAGACAAATCGAGCGACGAAAGAACTATTGTTTATTAATAGAAGTGGAAAAGATCATTAATAAAGGGAAGAGGTGGGATCGGTCCCGAGCGACAATGAGGTCGGTCCGTTCTTACGTAATTAGATACGGTTTTTCGTCTAACTATTGTCTGCAGTATCGAATAGTTCTTTTTCTTCACCGTCTCAGGGGTGGTCCGTCGATAGAAAGTTCCCCTCGGTCGTAAATTACTCGTGGTAATGCGAATCGGATAATTGGACAATGGACGCCGAAGAAAGAGAAAATAGTATCTTTTTTGATGGTAACTTTGTTGGTCATTTGTAAGTTTGCGCCTTGATTGTAACTAGAACAAGAGAGGATTTTTTCGTAGTATTTTTTAAAATTTGACCCGTCTTGTGATGAATTTTACTAGGTTTGTCGAATTAATTTGATAAGTTTTTAAGTAATGCACGAAAAAATTACCCATTCCGTGACTAAAAAGCTCTGGAGAACAATAAATTCATTACAATGCAAAAATATATGCAAATATTTGTAAATGATCAGCAATAGATTTTCATAGCTGTGCTTAGACTCTGAGAAATTTTTTTTCTGCATCTAAAGAAGCAATAATATAAAATTTTACACGAAATTAAAAATTTTATTATCAATAAAAAGACTTTTTAAAAGAGGTTTGCTCTTTCTTTAAAACTTCTGTCTTTATATTCCAAATATAAGAAAAGTAAAATTTATAAAATAGCATCTAACAAATTTCCCGTAGAAAAATGTATTAGTGGGCATTTCTAAATTTTAGAAAGATTATATTGGATTTTATTTTCAAAAGTTTAAACCTTTTCGAGCAAATATATAGGCCTAATTTACCTAATGATGATGTTTCCTTTGAACTTCTTGATTAATTCCAGAAGATGTAAGAATTAATGGAAAAAAACCTTCGAGGAAAGCCAATTCATCATGAAAGTTCAGAAAAGGTCAAAAGTTTAAAGCGATGAATAATAAATTCTTAGATTACTAGAGAAAAAGTCAAATATTTTCGATGCCAAAACAACGATACGAATACTTTGGGTTTTTCTAAAGTATCTAAAAATTTCGAAACTTCTATCTTCGGGAAGAAAAGATGGCAGAGATTTACGAAGAAACCAACGAAAATAAATAAAGTATAAATTCGAAATTTTGGTAATTAACATTTAATGGTTAAAACGGGGTGTCGTAAAACGTTAAAATAAGGGCTGTAAACATTAGAAAAGACACAACAGGTAGAAAGTTTCATGCCTAGACAGAGGCAATTAGTCGTAAGCGGGGCATATCGCCACTTTGTCTGAGGGAGCCAAGGTCGTAAAAGCGAAGAAATCTCTTAATTTTGTATACAAGTAGGACCCAATGGCGTGTGTAGCGGCGTCAGGTAGTGATGGCGCATCGATCGAGCGCGCGTCGGTAGCGAAGCTCCTAGACACAGATTAAGTCGAGTAGTGACGGACGGGACGGAGGAAGGCGCTACTTATGGAGAAAGAAGGGCAAAAGCGATAATAGTGAAAGTCCGCCGGTTATTGGTCCAACGGCGCGGTGTAAGTGGCCGAATCCAGGGGGCGCCACAGCCAATGACGTGAATGACGGGTGCACACCTTCGAATGCCACACTACCAGCAGATTCGCCAGACTCCAGTTGACAGATAGAGCGCAAGGTCCGAAGTAGTAAGGAGCTAAACATAATAATAATAATATATATATTTTTTGTTTTTTTTCTGAGCTTGTGCGTGTTGTTAACCCGGTGTTAATTGTTATATAAAAGTAAAAATTCCAGTCGTAGAGGCCCCAAGGCTCAACCGTCGCCGAGTTATGGGTCTGGCACAGCCAGTGTCGAGAACGAGAACAGAGTAAAGAGCCGAAGCGCAGGTGCAACTCGACCATTACCATGTCTACCGGTGTTGGGACTTTTAAAGTTCTCAAATTAGTTCTAGGAGTTGTGTTATCTGTGCAAAACGTATTGGGTAATTGGATGTAAGTAGAAACCAGTTTATTCTTTTCTTTTATTTTTTCTCCCTCTCGCTCTCTCTCTCTCGCCTTTCTATATGCGATATTTCCTTTTGTCAGCTATGACTGTTGACCTATTCGCTTGTAAAATCGACTTGTAAGAAGAGATAAGATGGAAAAATCGTTTGTCTAAGTACTCGAACATACAAAGTTATCTACTGTACTTTATCCAAGCGGATTGAGCAACTATTGTCGTGTTAAGAGCCGTGTATTTGATAATCCAATTAACTCTAGAGACTAGGCCAAAACATTCTTGTAAAACACTTCTAGTACATTCGTACTTTACGGAATTGCACCTAATTTGTTAGTAATTAGCTACTTCTATACGGTTTTATTCGATTCTTAGGCCTGTCATCATATTTCCAACGTGTTTCAGCACGCGCGAGAAACCATTCCTCGTGGTTTCACAAAGAATTCCTACGTAAATTCTTCCTTGCCAATTGTTTCGTGATTAGCTGGAATAACTGTTTTTACCTCATTCATGTTTGTTTAGTCGTGATTGGAATGAATGAAACATTTCCGATAGCGCTTATCGTCGATCGATAAATACTCGATTAAAACCTTTGTTTCATAAATAAAAATACCTCTACTTGACTTTTTAAATATCTTTGTAGTAAAATGATAAATTAATTAATTATTAGTTAAATGGCTTAACACTTTTAAGTGCTGAACGCGTTACGGAAATTGCCAGAATGTACGATGATTATACAGTAGATGTAGAGCATTTAGTAAATTATTTGCATAGGCCTAACAGGCTATTTTGTAGGCCTATGCAAATAGGCTACGAACATATATAAAGGCTGTTTGCTAGTTTAATTAATGCAAAATCGCGAGCAGATTAACGGATTCTTAATTACTATTTAACGAATTAAGAAGCGGTGCAGAAAAATTCTCAACGTGTAACGGAACTTCGTTAACGACGCTTCGTGTCTAAGTGCTTGATTTATATGAAAATATGCTTATAATGTAGTTAGCATCTTCACTGGGAGGGTTTAATTATATTGGGTTCGTAATCTTATAGCTTTAAGTTAACGGAAAAGCATCCGAATATAGGAAACGTGCATAGATAAAGTAAAGCATTGATGCGATAATGCATGGATAAAGAAACCACTTCACAATCAATATCTGGATATTATTCTGCCTCTAGTCGAGGCCTCCCTGAAAATTTGGCCAAGGTCAGCTCCAAAAGTGTCAAAGTGAACGCGGATGATTAGAAGGGGAGACCGCTGCACGAACTTGGTACCTCAAATTTTCACCTGGGACAGGTATGGCCGTCATATCCGGTTCGAGAACTTATCTTCCCTAACTGTTAAACATTAAAGAATTTTCAATATTGTTGTCCATTACGTTGAATTATTCGTTTCTAAAAATTTAAAAATCTCTCTTGTACCTTTTTATAAAAGCAAATTGCCAAATTTTCCCCTCAATTTGTTTAAAACTTATGGATGGAAGATAAGTTGGATTAGGTGAAAGGTTTTATAAGAAGCTAGTTTTTTCTCTACTTAATATTCATGACAATATTTCAAAATATAATATATTATGAAAATATAAATATAGTGAAACTAATATATAAAAATATTAGTCTCAATATATCAAATTAATACTTCGAATATCTGTTACGACGACAGTTATTAAGATAATTTGTTACGGTTGGCGTTAAGTTTTTTAGAAATGTTTCAGTTTGCATATCTTTAACGCATTTGTTAACGATAAGGAAGGAAATTAGTATATAACGGCATTCCATTCTTAGAAGGCCTTAAACAAGAATTGCCGAAATATTGTTTTATATTGATCTAAACATCAAAATTATAGCAGAAGAAACGGATTTTTGAAATTATTTATGCGATAAATAGCATTGTAATTACATTATCGATGGTAACTTGTTTAACACGAAAGTTTCGTTTTTTTTTATATTTGTATGGAATCTGCGAATCTCATGCACGTTTTTCTAAATAATTTCTTATCTGTAGATTTACTGAAGAATAAATTTTTAATTTTTTTACTTTTAATGGAAAGTATTGCGTATTAAGTTGAGTTTCATCGGATGATGAAGTAACCGTAAGAATGACAAATGCTTTGGATTTTCTTGTCGTGATGCGTTGTACGGTTATTAAAATAGGATACAAGCTTAAGATCTCGATCATTAGATGTTAAAAAGTCGAAAACGAATAAATTTATCTCTGTCATTATTCTGAAAAAGGTATTTCTAGATACGTTTTAGAACATGGATGAAGTAAAGGCCTACGACACTCTTCGACAATTGTCGCTTCTCTCAAGAGGAAGAGCTCCACTCGATTAATTAAGGCTAATTGGCCAAGGACGACACTTTACAACGTCTCTTATCATCTTAGGTATTAGAGGAGATTCCCAGTTTAATGTTTAATTTTGCTAACTTTCTTGTAAAGATGTTTCTTTGTAGCGTTTCAAATTTTTCGAACTCTTATCGAGCATCCGACAAACTTTCAATTTTTTCTTTCCCCCGCTCTCTATTTGCTTCATATTTATTTTCATCGGTATAGGATTTGAATGTCAAATGCGCTTCTCCCGCTAATTGTATATATATAAATTTTTTTTTCATCACAGACTGCCTACATTAATAATAAATGAATCCTTTGAAGTGTTTCTCTTGTGCACTTTTCCTCGTCCGCTCCGTCTCTTACCCTTATTAATACTTAAAAATTGTCTGATAAGTTAGAAGAAGGTGGGGAGAATAGGAAAAAAACGTTAAAAAAACGGGTGTTTCCTTCAAAAACCAATCTACCCAGAAACGTTTTTGTTTATTCGCTTTAACACTTTTAAGCACGTTTATTTTAATAACAATTTAGCTTAATTATAGTGCAGCTAGCGTGATTTATAGCCGTCGAAAGTACGTGCTGCGATTAAAAATTGGGACATTTTGGCACCAGAAAAATTCTCCACCGAAAGAAGGCCTCGCGCTTTTACCAAAAGCGAGTCTATCTAACCTGATAACTTCATTATATAGGCGAAGAATAAGTCTAGATCTCATCATCCATCCCCCTTTTCGGAAGCGTGTAGTAGTAGCTGGAGATGTGATATAGTCTGCTGCGTAGTCGGTGACAATAAGAGCGTAGGAGGGTCCGTTCTCCGGTGTCCCGTTTCTCCTAGGCCGTGACGTAACGAGAAAGGCGGACGAAGAGGAACTAATTAGAGTCGGCGGCCCTTCTTGACCAAAGTAATGGTATCTCGAAGTAAGTTATAGCATCCTTACGAGGCCTCGAATCCAAGTGACATTAACCTTTCGTGTCGACATTTAAATGCCGCCTATAACGCGCACCTGTTGCACTCGACGGGGGTCTTCTTCAACCACTAGTTTCGTCACTCTATCCGCTTTCTTGCCGTTTTCTCCCAAATTCTTTAAGAGCTACGGGGTAAGAGCCGATATGCTAATTCAATTTGGTCGAACATGGTTTCTTCACGTTACTCGTGCTCTACCCGCGATCCGACAGCTGTGGTTATCCACCCACGCAGTATCAGAGAACAATAAAATTAGCAGATCGAGTGTATAAATATGATTTGCGAATTAGCCTCATCCATCTTGGCAATCATAGCACACCTGACCATCTCACGACCTGTTGTCTATATTTACACCTCGCTGCTTTCCTCCATGTGTTTTGAATAGATAAAAAGATTATTCACCCGCCAGTGGAGTACAGGTGTCGGAAGAAGGCCCGCAACTTACAATACTACCTGTCTTTGTTAGGCGCATTCTACCACTCCAGGATTGCAGATTGACATCCGCGCTCAAACGTCCAATTACACAGACTAATGACTATAATTAAGGTCGGATCGATCCGTAATCGATTATCAGGCGCCTCCCACCAGCCCCGAACTGTGATGTAACACACTGCAGTTATGATGACCGGAAATTTCCATAACTCAGATCTGTATATCACAAGTTTATAGATCACAAAATCTGTCATGTTCTTCAAGCTTTCAAACAATTCGATGCTTTATTAAAGAAGCCTTATTCTAGAATTTTAAGATAAGTCTCGGCTTACTAGAAGTTTATACTTTTATTAATATAAGCTTTAAGTCAGAATTTTAGGACTAAAGCTAATTGTTTCTTTAATTACACAATGCTTAGGATTTTGTTAGATCTTTCAAAATTGGAATAAGGATACATAAAAATTTCACAAATAATCTCACAGTAGCCTTTTAACGTAAAGCATACTTTTAGATATAAGGCTTTATTTAAACATTTTACTAGAATTTTAGGAATGTTTACAGCTTTTAATTTTAGGTTAATAATCGGTTTATTTAGTAAAAGTTTCGAGTTTTACCACAGCAATAATAAACAGTTCTGGACAAGAGGAATGCATTCAAATTATTCTAGTTCACAAGTCTAAGATAACCTCAAAATTTTATTAAAATCTTATTCAGTTATATACTGGAGAAGAGCTATTCTCGATTCTAGAAGTTTGTTTTTCCAGAATTAATTTTTTATAATAGAAAAGCGTGTACTGTTACTCGCTCCACACTTTTAAGAAAGCCTCTTACAGAAACTTTACACTGAATTTTTTCCCCCTCCTCTCTGAGCAACTCATCAGAATAGCTATGTTATTCAGTCATATCAAACGTGCTTTCTAGTATTATGCGCTACCTTTGGCCTTAATGCATAATGGCACGGCCGACAGACAAAATGTAGAGAGCGGAGGCCATTTGCACTTCTTAAAAATGTAAAAAAGGGCTCGGGCACTTTCTGCTTTTTCAGTTTTGATCGCGCATTACTTAGACGAGTCTGGATCCAGTTCACCCGGATTTAGTCAAGCCGAGGAAGAGGCGAAATACTAATTGGTATTCAACACTCGAAAGCCTCATAGATGCTTATCTAGCTATTTGTAAACATCGATACCGGCTGACGTCAGTTAATATAGTCACGTGATTCGCGTGACTAAAAGCGCGAAGCTGAGTCAGTGAAGGGCGAGGAGGGGCACTGCCAATGTCAAGGTCGTAGCGGGATGCGTTTATTGGTCGACCAATGCTTAATTAGCGGTCCTAGTCAAATCGGAAATAAAAATGGAATTCTAAAGCGGGGTTTTTGCGGCTCACGGGATGCTCTCAGGGTCTTATATATAAATATATATATATATATAAAAAGTTAATTCACTTTTTGTGCGAGTCTCTCGGAATTTCAATCTACAGGGCTATAAAGACATTAGAGTTTTCCATTAATACAGCGCTTAATGATAGCTTATTGTGTGGAGAGTGGGTGGAGTGTGACCCAGTTCTCCTTCTACATAATAAATAGCAAAGTGAGAAGACAATTATTATGCCGCACACCTGAACTTTTGACAATTTTCTCGGCTTTATCGCGTTTTTTTTTTCCTTCTCTTTTTAATTTCTACTACGCCTCGCTCTCTTCTCTTCTCTTTTCCTATCATTCTTTATTTTAAGAAGTTTAACTCCAATTTTACAGCCGCTTTTGTTTCTGTTTGCGATTTTTAACTGTCTTCCATTTCGGAATTTCGGTTGCAGATTTAATATCATGCAGCTCGATATTTAGATTTGACATTTTTAAAAATTGTAGTTTTTTTTTCCTTACTCGTTCCTCAAATTTTATCACGTTTCTTGTTGTTCTACCCGATTCAGGTTGTAAAAGCTTTAAAAAAATCATTCGCTAACAGAAATTGGCTTTCAAGTAGCAATTTGCTATTTAAAGGTACAATAGTTATAATGATAGGAGCAGCACGCCCCTCCAGCTACAAAAGAATATCCATGTTATTTTTTTTTTCACTTATCCTAAGATTATCTTTTCTGCATACAGAAATTTAACGTAGTCGAATTTTTCACATTTTTTTTTTATTACTGTTTCCGCGTTTATTCATGGATTCAGTAGTGAAATCTATAATAATTTTCGGAAAAAATAGAAATGAGGTTATATATATTTTTTTCAACTTAAAATATGTTAAAAAATATTCAAACAATTGCAGGAAAAGTAGAAAAGGTTTGCGGGTGTTCCAAATTAATTTGGTCTGAAAATCCAGTTTGTTAAAATTTGTTGCCTTTGGGATATATTTTTGTTCAATTCTATTCACTCGCGTAATCTCTTGATTAATATTTGTTACCTGTAATATTTTCGTATTTTAAATAGTTTCTTTTACGATTTCCAGGTATTTGGGTATGGTCGGGGTGTCCGTGCCAACCCCTACTGAACCCCCTCAGGGTATCGACACCTCGGACATTTGCTCGAGCATTCCAGGATTAGTGACCAAGCAGAGGAGAGTTTGCGAGGCTCATCCTGCCATCATCCAGGCTATTAGCGCGGGTGCAAGAAGAGGCATCCTTCAGTGTCAGCATCAATTCCAGAACGAGAGATGGAATTGCACCATAGAAGGAGGAGAGAGCGTCTTCGACCACACATTGCAAAGAGGTATGTTTTTCGTATGGGACATGGGTCGCTGACGTCACGAGGTGTTTTGGGTTAGATAAGGGAACCCGGCCATGTGGTTTCGGGGGTCTGCGCGTGGCCGCTTGTCTCGCCTAAAGGTGATAGGGCGATAAGAATTGGACTTCTAAAGTGCTCCGAGGTTGGCCATTACAATGTTGTCAACACTACTTAGCGGGCTATTTTACAGATGCTGCTTCGATTCCAGCCCCTTCTGTCTTTATCGATGACATTATCCACCTTGTCTGTACCTTGTCAAGCTTATCCGGAAACCGGTGTCGGGTTTTAAAAAGCCTAGTCACGAGATATTACCAACTCGTCTCTAGACGCCATTTACAAATAAAGCTCGAACTTTCGGCTCGCCAATTTAACGTCATATTTCGATAGTTAAATAAACACATTCCGCATAGTTTCAGCAGAATGTGAGGATTTTTTTAATACTAAAACGCCACTTTGACCTCTAGTCCGTAAACTGCACGCAATTCGACAAGTTTGGGTGACAATATTATACCAATGCTATCAAATAACAGTGCAGAAAGTCGTACAGTGTGCAGGAACTGTCGTTTTCCCTTCTACAACAAATAAACAGACAGAAGGGCTCGCCGGATAAATGTAAAACAGACTTCCTTTAACACACTCGAGTACATCAACAAAGAACTGGAAACACTCGTATATTGTTTTTATTTTATTTCTTTTTATTCACTTTTGCTTTCATTTAAGTCCTTCCACCATTATCTTTAATCGATTTTCTGCAAAAATAATCGTTTGGACACATCAAATAAGGTAGACCACACACGCAAGTTGCGTTATTTATGTGTGCACAGGTGTCAGGAAGTACGAAAGGACCACCCTCTATTAATAGGCGTTTCACGCTTAAACTTTATACGATCTTGTACGGTCTGTATATTGTATACAAGATGTAATGTTGTCGAACGTTTGCTTTTTCATGGGGGATGTATTATTTTCTAAATCTGAATGCAAGGGAGTTCTATTAACAGTGCAGAACACACGATATCCCCATTCATTCTTTCGAAAAAGGGAATATGAACGTGATCACATGGCTTGATTTTTTTGAATGACAGCCTTTCTGGTGACAGGATCGATCACGTACTGTACTTCAATCGGACGTGAAAAGAAAAGCGGGACATTATTTCAGAGATTATAATTATCACTCGAATCTCTCTTCTTTTTTCTGTACACATTGTCGATAATGTTTTCCGGATGGATTGTGCACGTCTCGAGTAATCTCGTCACCTGGATCCTCACAAAGAACCAGACTACTAACCATAATAGTGTTTATCTGCGGCTTAGGATTTTGGCCAATCATTCGGACCTTTCATGTTTCTTCCCTCTTTTAAATTTTGCTGATGAAGCGGAGCAGCAAACTCGATAAGGTGCAGAAGCAGTCTTTGTGGCGGTCGTGCTTTATCTTTTGCATTCTTCTTCTTTTTTTTTTTTTAATAATACCTCCTCCTCGCCGATCGATTTAGCTGTTTCTAAAGATATTAATTTCCGTAAGTGTCAGGAATATCACAGATATATTTTTGCTTTTCCGTTGCAGGTAGCAGAGAGACTGCTTTCATCTATGCCATCACTAGTGCGGGTGCTGTTCATGCTATTACGCAAGCCTGTAGTGCTGGAAATCTTACTTATTGCTCCTGTGACTTGTCCAGACAAGGAGAGAGTACCTCCGAGGGATGGAAATGGGGAGGTTGCTCGGATAACGTCAGGTACGGGGTGATCTTCGCCAGACAGTTCGTTGATGCTCCCGAAAGGACGAGAAAGAAAAAGAAAAAATCTGACGTCAGAGCCATGATGAATTTGCACAATAACCAGGCTGGAAGATTAGTAAGTATCTTATTTGTTTTTAAAAATACATATATATATTAGATGTCTATGAATACATTCCTTCAACTCGACCGCTAATCCTTCACTGTCTTGGCCTTTAGGCCTAATAAAATCGAACGTGATCCTACTCCTACCGAATTTTTCTTAGAGGCCGAATGTTTTTCGTTTTGCTCGCAACTTTTACGACTTTAATCGGGACGAATAGACGAATGAACATTGTTTTCTATTCCGCTGTAAGTTTTATTTCTGTTTTAAGAAAGGTTTTAGGGTGCTTAATGACTACTTTGTAGTGGGATTAACACGACCGAAGCAATAATAATAGTCTGTACATCCTGTCGGGACCACAAAATGGTGGTCACTCTCCACATTTTAGTGTTTCCTCGTGTTAATCTTCACTTCCTCTTGAATTCTTTTTTTTTTTTTACCTGAATTTTTGCGAATGGCACATTCGAGGAATGTTGACTCTCCTCATAGAATGCAGATGAAGTTTCTTCTTGTCCATGTTTTCATGTATAACATCCTGTTGGGTCTTTGTTCTTCTCGGGACGTGATCTGACTGGAGTTTTAGGACATCGAAACCAGATCATTTCTCGCTTTTTCCCAAATTATTATTCGACCCCTTTCGACGATCATTGTTCTTTTAATCTAATGAGAATTGTCAGAGATGGATCGGCCGATTGTTTCTTCTGGCAGCCTCTTAACAATAATCGAGAGACTAGCGAAATGAGCTCAAAATAATTTTGGAAGGAACCCTCAAATGGACATTTTCTGTTGGATGGAAGTGAACGGTAGTCGGTGGCAGGTGTGGGGCGCGAAAAGAGTCACGCTCACTCCACCACCCAGGAGGCCCCATACGCTTCATGCAGACGGAATGCTATTTCGTTTTTTCGCTAATAGTTTCACGATATTTGTACGTCGATCGATTTAAAATGCTTGAAAAGCAAATCAGTTCGGTAATAGTTTCAGCTGCTTTCTCTCGCCGAATCGTTACGTTTTGCTGCCCTTCTATAGCATCTCCCTCTTCATTCGCAGCGTCATAGATGCATCGCAGACACGATTTAACATGTAAAAAAACGTAAAATATTAGAATAATAAAAAAAAACTTAATGCAATCTGCATTTGTTCTGTAGCTGGCGTTTTCGTTTGTTTAAATGGCAGACCACACAAACCGTAGGAGGAAGGTCAAACTAATAAGTTCTGCAGCCAAATTATTTTAGAGTTTTAGCAAACCAGACGGGATTTTAGGAAAGCGTTTATATTGGAAGAGGAGGAATGAATTCTGGAGATGATCCAACCACTTCTTAAAAGCTGTACTTAGCTTAAGTTTTGACGTGTGACATCTGTCGATGTTTATTGAGATTCAAGCCCGCCATTTTTAGTAGAGCTATTGAGCTAAGTAATGTTACTTTAAGTAGGCTTTAAAGGTGATACTTCCAGATATTTCGGTCACGAAATTTGGAAATGTGCAGCCGGAGATTCCGAACGTGACCAATTCATTTAAGTTATCGGTTATTTTGTGACCGGAATTACACATCTTGTAACAATAAGGCCGTAAATCTCCTAGCGATCTCTAGACAGATAGTGGGATGCCACATTCCTGCCACTCAACTTCTTTCGGAACGACTTACCACTTCTTTCCTATTTTCCTTTACTCCTATAGCTGCTGATTTATAGAAAATATTAAAATTGTATAGATCGATCAGAATTTTGGACAAAAAAAATTCCTTAAATTTAACGATAAAACTTGCATTTGGTTGGTTTGTAAAGGACTTCGCTCCATTTAAATTCGCAAATCATCATTCTAATCCGTTATTCTAATTTAAAAAGTGGTTACTTTTGAGTAATTATTTATTTTCTATGAAAAAACTACGACGAGATATAAAATTTATCGGTATAATTTCAATTTAACGTTTGACAGACGGATGAAGTGTTGATTTCTTACGCAAGATATCGGCTCATAATAACTAGTTTTAAACTGCAAGCTCTCATTTTGCCCATTTAAGAGTGGATCTATCACGTAATGAATCGGTTAACGTGAAAAATGGGTGATGACGACCATTATTTAACTTGAATTATATAAGAATTAGAATTGGATTCGAACCTCGCTCGCTTATTGTATTAGGAATAAACGGATTAATTAATAATAGTAGTAGTAGGCCTAACAGCAAAGCACGATTAGATCTTAGATGACACGTTAAAGACGAAAATATCTTATGTTACTAATTTACTCCTGGATTATTTTCTTAACGGATTGTTTTCATAACTTATTATTAACTTAGAGATATCATCATGCCTTACATCATGTGCGGCCGGCCTACCCTACATTGATATAAGATTTCAAGTTAACCACTATTCTATATCACCACTATTGCAAATTTTATCTTATCCAAACTGTTCTTTTCGTGAGAGATTTTTTTTGAAAGAAACTGTTGATGAACGGGAGGTGTTGACTTTAATTTTTTGTTTCATTTCGCCTCCTCCGATTTGCAATTTGGCCAATGAATACGGAGCGAAGTAGGAAAACAGGCAATAAACTTTTTTGCGTTTGTGGCTCCTGACACCGAAGGACTGCAGATTTTCGTCGAAGATAATATTTTTAAAAGGTAGCACTTTAATAATTTCTGACAGAATGGGGTCAAACTCGATAGAATCTGTAAATAACCCACAAAAAGGAATTTTTATCGGACGGAAAATTTCGAGTTTCGGGGAAAACAAAAGGGCCAAACGTGATTTTTGCCAGGAATTATTTAGAAAGGAACCGCTTCCGGTGGGGTGGCAGTTTTAATTCTGTCAGTTCTTCTGATTCACGATCCTCTCGACACCTGACATTGTCAGTCACGTGCGGAGTTACGTCATGACTCGGCCATAAAATTGGGAACAACAGCTGCGGTTCACATTGGAACAATCGGGTCAATCACGACATGACCCACTTATTGTGCCGAAAAAATTGATCTTTTTCTTATTTCCATGCGAAAAACCGTCTATGAGCATTGGTAGGCTCGCTCTCGAGTTTTTCCTATACTCTTAAATGCTTTTTGGAGATTGTGTTACGCTTGAAGACTTCCCGAAGGCAAAATTGCTGTTAATTCTCGGGTAAAATGATAGGTGTGAATTTTCCCACGGCTTCTCCGATTTTTTCGGTAGTTTAAAGTAATTATTTGCGCGACATTTCCCTTAATGCTATTCTTTACGTGATATCGCCGTTAATGGTGTTACTATTATGAAAATTCGAATCAAACAATCTATGTGGCAGTCAAAACATGAAATATACACACTACAGAATTGTACTAATTTCAAATATTTTCTTCTCTCTTTCCCACCTCTAGGCCATCGCCAATCAGATGGAGAAAAAATGCAGATGCCACGGGATTTCCGGTTCATGCGAATTGAAAACGTGTTGGAGAACTATGCCATCCTTCGAACAAGTGGGTAACTATCTGAAGAACAAGTACGAAATATCCATTCAGGTATCACCCCGCGCCAATCGTAGATTACGCAGGAGGGGTAAAGTAAAGAGGAAAGTGTCATTGAGGAAGGAAGATTTAGTGCACATACACAAATCTCCAAATTATTGCGTTGAAGATGCCCAAAAGGGTATATTAGGAACTTCTGGACGCCAGTGCAACAGGTCGTCGGAGGGGCCCGAAAGTTGCAATCTGCTCTGCTGCGGCCGTGGTTACAATACTCAAGTATTAAGACACGTGGAGAGATGCAAATGTAAATTTCATTGGTGCTGTTACGTTACGTGTAAAACGTGCGAAACCATGGTAGAAATATATACATGTAAGTGAAGATAAGCAACATCATCCCTTGAATTTTTTTTCGTTTAGACCCTCTCCTCTCAGGTAGCCAGCCTATGGTATCAGAGGTGCCGAGTGGTACCAAGTGCATTTATATAATAATCAATCTTGGAGATCCCTACCAGCAGCTGTGATAAGAGCACCGAAAAGACTGTCAAATTTTTGGGAATATCTCTTTGACTGTAAACCCTTTTACTCCAAAATAAAAAACAAAAAGGAAAAAAAAACATAGAAGTGCTAAAGAAGAAGTGATGTAGATACGTCCATTTTTAGTATTAATATATGGAACTTTTTAGGTAATTATTGACGTCGATGTGTTTTACGTTTACTCTATCATCTGTGTAATCGTTAATTTAAATATTTTGTATCTAAATTATTGTGAAAATTGTTTAAAAAAAGATGAGTAACGTCCGAGTTTGTCTGAATTTTATCTCTTCTTTGTTATTGTTTTGTTAAGATATACCAAAAAAAGAAAAAAAAAAAACATTTTTTCTGCACATCTGTCGCACGATTTGTGAGTAAAATACACACAAATGAAACTCTCAACAAAGTTTTAACCTAATCTTTCACAGTATTAGAAGAGAAAAATAATAAAAATTTATATGTCATCAGGGTTTTTTTGCTTTTATTTTCACTTTCAATTGAATAATTTCAAATAACGACTTCAAAAGTCAATAAAATAAGAATTTTGCATGGAATTATATTAAAATCGAAGAGATGGACCGCAAAATAATATTTAACTGTTAGTTAAAAGGGAGTAAATGTAAAACGTCACTCAAACTACAGTTTAGTGACGGATATATAAATCAGTCGATATTCATCTAGGAAATTAAACAAGGCAGACTAAAGCGGACATAAATCAAAAGATGAAAATTGAGCGCGTCATGAAACTGAACATCGATACACGTCGAGGAGGAGATGCCGAGTTCTCAATCGTAACCCGCAAAACTGATCCGACAACTGATTAGCCCGCCCCTAGTGGTGCGCATAGAAACTAAAATACATAACTTTCGTGGCGACATCTTCAGTGAAATGTCAATCCGTATTTCTTAAATTAAAATTTACCTAAATTGTAACAAAAATTAAAATTTTAATGTTTCTAAAACTCCAGTGATTATTTATAAATACTAAAACATTACGCAGGGAAAGTTCAATATTTGGGTCACATTTTTATAAACACGGTCTAGTGCGATGTTACGATTTCTTCAATAATAATATTTTTTTATTAAAATTATTAACCATGTCGAATGGAAGTCCACGTGAGTCATGTTGACTCATTTCGCTCCCAACAAAACTCAAGCATTTGCGGTATGTGGCATTGGCTCGGGGCTGTACGGACCGAGGCAGACAATGACCCTGCAGCTCAGAACTGTTATCATTTCTGAGCTTTACACACAACTGATTTATGGGAGAATAATAAATGGCGTCCCGTAACAAATCAGACACGAGAAATCCCAACCAATTCGCTTCTTGGTGTACCGACCACCTGGAATTCGCCCTTTCCCTATAAAATATAAAATACGATCACGCTTTATTACACGCCGTGTCTAATTGGAAGATTTTATGCGGCCTCTCTCTCTGTCTCCCTTTCCCTACTTTCATTCGGGCTCTCTTCTAACCGAAATTCAAATTTTTTTTTGTAATTTTTTTAATTTTAGTCTGGTTCAAATTTAATTAATCTCATTCCAATGTCGAGATTGATGCTCATTGTGTTGCTCTCCCATACTGTGGGGTGGCGCGCTGTTTTTTATATTCGAATTCTGTGACGTAACGGACGGTTATTCGAGTTTTTTGAATGTTGATCGTCTGCTGCAATCGGGTGGCGCCATCTCACGGACGATATTAAAAATGAAAAATATTTAAAGATGTATTTTATTTAAAAAATTGTTAAATTTAATCAAATTTTTAAAATTATCGTTTAATAATAATTATGATTGTTACAAATTGATTATGATTGATTGCAAAATAATTATGATTGTTTAAATTATACTGAATTATTTTATTTATCAGCAATTATATAAATAGCTGAAGCTAATGAAAAAAAAAAAAATATATATATATATATACAAATAAGAAGTTAATAAAGAATAAGAAAAATTTTGTATTTCAAAATTAATATAAAAATAATCGTCAATGATTAATTGAAAATTAAGTTCAACAGGAAATATGTATTTTGTATTAATGCCGATATTTGAAGCGAAAGTTGAAAATTATCGAAGAGTCATTGAAAAAACGGAAATGTAACGAGTTACGAGAAAAGCGGTCGTACAACACATTCATAACTGTAAAGAAACAGAATGAACGTAATGTTTATTTTCAATGACGTTGTAATTTTTTCGGTTTCCGTATTAGTTTGCAAAATTGCGAAACATACGAAAATTTTGTTTATTATCGCGTTTCGTCTTTTAACCGGTAGGGTGCGTGATGCGGATAGTATGGCGAGTTTGTTTAGTGGTTACATGTCTAACATTAAACGTTGGTTGAGCTGGTCCTGGACATATTTGTGGTTACTGTGGTTCATCCTGGTTATCTTTCTCGTCTATGTACTAAGGGGACCTCTGAGGATAAGCGAGAACATAGCCATGGGTGAGAATAATCCGTTTAATCAGCGGAAATGATGGCTTTTTATCTCACTTGACGTTAGGCTTAGGTCGTTCTGCCAACGATCGCCGCCGAAATGTCGTTTGGTCACTTGAATATTTTTAAATTTATTTTTCTAACAAATAATTGTCTTTTCGATAACATAACTTACAATGCATAAATTCATTTATTGAAAACCATTACGGATGCGTGCATCTGGAATTTGGACGGTTCTTTCTTACATGAGGTTATTATTCATTAGAATCAATGGGACCACACACATCTTAAATGGCATTAAACAAAACAAATAAGTGGTATATTATGTTTATTTTGCAAAGTTTATATTATAAATAAGCAAAATATCATAAAATCTGCTATCCATATTTATTATTCAAAAGCAAATAATCCCATAAATTTTGATTTATCTATTACCATCAGTTAATAAATTTATTTTTTAATAGAAAATGGGTTTGATTGATTGATTAATACGAAGCGTTAGAATATTGTGGGCTGTATGGCTGGCCACAATTGCATTCATTATGGATGAATCAGACCCACAATAGGGTCAACCAGCATGATCAAGGGATGGGAAGTGATGCTCGATCTATGTTACTTGTGATTAATTATAGGGATTTAGCCCGGATCACCGTGGAGATGGGCTAGCACATTAGTATGGTCACATGGTAAAATGTTAGCCTGTTTCCATGAAAAGTGATTTAAAGAATAAATAACTTTTGAAATCAATCTTATTATGGTTTATTATTAAAAATATAGCAGATTTAAAAGCTATAAATTGGTGTAATATTTTAAAAATAATGATTAAAACAAAAAATTTTAATTAAAGAATAATGAAAGTTATAATAATAGATTTATTGTTACAAATTTATAAATTTGTAACAATAAATCTATGTTCAAAAAAGTTTTCACATGGATGTATTACACATAGAAATCTTGATTGTTAAAGAGAAAATATAGATTTTGGAGCTTTTTCAAAAGAAGGAAATTTGTATTATCATGCAGATAATCTATAGTGACAAATAACCTGCATGTTCAAAAGTGCTAGAACTTAAGTAATATTTTGCAATCTATATCATCATATATCCTATTACTGCAAAGATATTCTTGTTAACTGGATAAGACATGGTATTTAAGTTTATCTTAACACTTTGTAGTAGATAACAAGTAAAATTGACAGATAAGCATACCTTTGTATAATCCATATGGGAATTCAACCTGGTTTTGAAAATCTTAAAATACATCATTTTGTTCAGTTGCTAAAATTTCTTTGTAGTGATGTCATTTAAGATTAACAATGTTTTTGAAATTAAAAGTAGGAAAAAATTTTAGGTTAAAATTATAAATAAACAGTTCTTTAGAAGATTTAAAAGTTGAATTTTAATTAATAGAGAAATAATGATGTGTACATTTTATTGTATTCAGAATGAACTGAATGTAAAGTTATTTTGTCTATTGAACTAAACAAAGGAGTTGAATATGTCACAGTATCTATTCTTGATTTATTTTAATATTTAGTTGTTAATATTAAATGTAATTTATGTATTAAATTGTTAATTTATCAATTTTGCTAACTCAAAACATTTCATAGTAGATTAGATTTGTCTTTTACTAACAGTTTTTTTTTTCCTGCCAAAAACCTTACTTTATAAAAATTTTAATTTTCATTATAATAGTTTTACAAAAATACTATTTTACTTATAAATAATAAGGAATTTCATTTCTTTATTGTTTGTAAACAGATTAAATAATGTTTTAAATATATGTTTTAATATGTAGAGTTATTTATAGTTTACAGCATACTTGTAAAATGGTTGGTAAATGGAAATATGATTCCTGACAAACAACATTGAATTAATTATAAGACTATAATTTTTTGAAATTCTTCAATATAATTTGTGTGATATGAAACTATGAAAAATGTAAAAAAAAAAATATTGAATTTATATTATTTTTAAATTTTATTAGATATTTTATTCAAGGTTGCTAATTTAAACACCATATGTTGTGAATGATAATATTCATTTACTATAATCATAATAAGATAAAATTTCCATTAAATTAATTTTGCTTTTTTTTTTTTAGTCGAATTTATCAATAAATATAATAATAATTAATAAAAATTTTATCAAATGGAAATGTTAAATTGTGAAATTTTGGAAATTTTAAGATTCAAAACTTAAAAAAAATATATTGTTAAATTTTTTAATGAATTTTATTAGACTGAGAATGCTTATACAAAAATTCAGTTCTATCTAAAATAATAACTTTAAAAAATATTCTAACTACTAATTAATTTAATATTTATAATGTAACTATTTAACAAGAAAAAATGACATTTTTATTAAAGTTATAAAAATATTACCAATTATAATTACATATTATTGATTATATTTTAAACCGAAACTCAATCCTTTCAAACTCAATCCTCAATGCTTGTTTAATGATATAATGATAGCTTTACTTTTTATAACTTAAAATATTTTTAAAGAGTAGATGGATTTTTTTATAAGTTATTTGTGCTCCATATTTAAATATACTTTAAATTTATAAATATTTTCTCTGTTTCCTAAGAAACAGTTTTTTTATTTTAAAAATAAGGACAATATAAAATACCAAAAAAAAAGTCTAATATAATTATATACCTTATCACTCTAGCAATGGCTTTAATTTTCGTATGCATGCATTTTTGGTGTCTAATATGAAGCTAAAAGTAGC